AAAAAAAAAAAAAAAAAAAAAAAAAAAAATATGGCTCAATTGTTTGTCATCTACAAGAAACTTACTCAAATATAATGATATAAGCAGATTAAAACATTGGAAAAATAATGATAAATGGGTCAAGCCACGAAGATATAGCAATACAAAATGTGTATGCATCAAACAACAGAGTTGCAAAACGTGACAGGACTGAAAGGCGAAAGAGAAAAATTCACAATTACAGCTAGAAATTTGAATATTGGTCTCTCAATAATCAATGAGGATACAGGAGAATTCAACATCATCATCAACCAAGTGTCTAATTGATATTTATAGAACACTCCATCCAACAGCACAGTACATATTCTTTCCAAGCTCCCACGGGACATATTTAAAATAGAGCCATAAAACGAATTTTCAAAAAATTTAAAAGAATTGAACTCACCCTCACCTCAAGAAACTTTAAAAGTTGAGCAAAATAAACAAGAAGCAAACAAAAGATGAGACAGCAATAAGACTTAGAAAAAGCAATGAAACAAAAAAGTTCTTTGATTCTTTGAAAAGGTAAACAAAATTGACAAACCTCTAGCAAGACTGACCAAAAAAAGACATAACTACCAATTTCAAGAATGAAACAGAGAGAGTAGATATCAAAAGGAAAATAAGGCACTGGCTGGTTAGCTCAGTTGGTTAGGGCGCAGCCTTACAACACCAAGGTCATGGGTTCAGATCGCCATAATGGCCAGCTGCCCCCCACCCCCCCAAAACCAAAAAGAATAATAAAGGAATACTACAAACTATGTACCCATAAATTTCACCTTAGATGGAGTCATCCAGTTCCTCAAACAGCACAAACTACCACAACTCACACAATATAAAGTAGTGAATTTGTAGTCACAAAACTGAATTCATAATTTTAAAAACCCCCTTCAAAAATTTCTTGGCCAAGGTAGTTTAACTGGAAAATTCTTCCAAACATTTGCAGATAAATTAACATCAATTCTATACAATCCCTTCCAGAAAACAGGAGACAGAACACTTGCCAATTCATTTTAAGAAGCCAGTATTACTGACACCAAACCACACAAAAACAGTACAAAAAAGAAAGCCTCAGACCAATATCGGATCGATAAATTAACATCAATTCTATACAATCCCTTCCAGAAAACAGGAGACAGAACACTTGCCAACTCATTTTAAGAAGCCAGTATTACTGACACCAAACCACACAAAAACAGTACAAAAAAGAAAGCCTCAGACCAATATCGGATCTCATGAATATAGACACAAAAATCCTTAAAATATTAGCAAACAGAATTTGGCAACATATAAAAATAATACAGCATAACCAAGTAGGGTTTATTCCAGGGATACAGGCTTCAAAACCTTGGTGATCAAGGGAATATTGACTGAGGGATCAATATTCAAAAACCAATCAATATAATCCACCATATTAATAGGCTAAAGAAGAAAACCATGTGATCATATCAACTGATGAAGAGAAAAGCATTCAACAAAACACCACCCATTCATGAAAAAACTCAAAAATTTAGGAAGAGGAGACAGTTCTCAACTTTCTCAACTTGAGAGAGATTACCTACAAAAAACATACAGCTATAAAATTATGAAAAACTGAATAACAAGTCAAAAATGTCTGCTCTTAACACTGTTATTCAACATAGGACTGAAAGTTCACCAGCGCAATAAAGCAAGAAAAGGAAATGAAAGCCATACTGATCAGAAGGGAAGAAATAAAATTGTTCCTATATGCAGATGACATGATTAGTCTACAAAGAAAATCCCAAGTAGTGTACACACACACACAAAACCCTCTTGGAATAAGCAGTTTAGCTAGGTCACAGGATTCAAGATCAATATGTAAATATCAATTGTATTTCTATATACTAGCAAATGGAAACGGAAATTAAAAATACAATACCATTTATAATCGTAATACCTAGGTGTAAATCTAACAAAGCACAAACAGAACTTGTATGCTAAAAACTATAAATTGCTGATGATAAAAAGCAAAGAAAAACCAAATAAATGGAGAGACATACCATGTTCCTGGATTAGAAGACTCAGCATAAAGATATTAATTCTCCTCAAAATTATAAATAGGTTTAACACAATTCCAATCAAAATCTCCCTCCGTAAACAACATTCCAGAAGACTTTTTGTAAATACAGACCAGATAACTCTAAAATTTATACAGAAAGACAAAGGAACTAGAATAGCTAAAAATAATTTTGAAGAAGAATAAAGTGGGCAAAATCAATCTATCTGATTCCAAGACTTATTACAGAGCTACAATAATGAAGACCATGTATGTAGTAGGTGAAGAGACAGACACGACCAATGGAACAGAACAGAAAAACCAGCAACAGCCCCACATAAGTATACCAAACAATTTTTGACAAAAGTGCAAAAGCAACCCAATGGATTTTTCAACAAATGGTGCTGGAGCAATTGGATATCTATACAGAAAAAAATGAACTTCAAACTAAACCTCATACCTTACACAAAAGTTAACTCAACATGGATCATACATTTAATGTAAAACGTAGCAGTATAAAACTTTTACAAGAAAACACAAGAGAAAATCTTCAAGGTCTAGGGCTTGAAGAGTTCTTAGACACATCAAAAGCATGACCCATTAAATAATTTTTTAAACATCAATAAATTGAACTTCATAAAAATTAAAAACATTTGCTCTGCAAAAGACCTGTTAAGAGGGTGAAGAGACAAGCTACAGACTAGAAGAAAATAGTTTCAAATTACATATCTGGCATAGGATTAATATTTAGAATATACTAAGAACTCTCAAAACTCAACAGTTAAAAAAAAAATCCAATTAGAAAATGAGAAAAAGATATGAAGAGACATCACTAAAAAGGATATAATGAATGATAAATAAGCACATGAAAAAGATGTTCAACATCACTAACCATCAGGGAAATGCAAATTGAGACCACGATGAGATATCACTACACACCTATCAGAACAGCTAAAATAAAAAATAATGACAATACCAAATGCCGGCGAAGATTCGGAGACACTGGATCTCTCATACATTGCTGGTGGGAATGTAAAATGGCACGGCCACTCTGGAAAATAGTTTGGCAGTTTCTTAAAAAACTAAACAACTTAACCATGACCCAGCAATTGCCCTCCTAGGCATTTATCCCAGAGAAATGAAAACTTAAGTCCACACAAAAACCTGTACACAACTGTTCATCAGCAGCTTTATTTATAAGAGCCCAAAACTGGAAACAACCAAAACAACCTGCAATATATGGTAAAATAAACTGTGGTACATCCAGACTATGAAAGTATTTTCTACTTAGCAATTAAAAAAAAAAAAAAAAGAACTACTGATACAGGCAACAACTTGGATGGATCTCAAGGGCATTATACTGAGTGGAAAAAACCAGTCTTAAAAGGTCCAAAACTGTAACATTCTTGAAATGACAAAATTCACGTGATAAAATGACATCAAACTATACACACACATTGTACCAATGTCAATTTCCCTGGATTTGATATTGTATTATAGTTATGTAAGATGTAATCATTGGGGGAAATTGGGTGAAGGTCATATGGGCCTCTCTGGACATCTTCGAAACTGAACCTAATCATTTCAAGATCAAAAGTTTAAGGGGGAAAAAAATCAGTAAAACTATACTCATAAGGCCAAGAAAAAAAATAAATCAGGCTCTGCCCAAGAAAATATGAAGTGCCCTGAAATCCATATCAAGAAACTTAGCAATTTCTCCAAATTTGACAATCCTAAATATTTAGATAACAGCACCAATAACTTCTCTAAATTATCAGCTACACACACACACACACACACACACACACACACACACGCACGCACGCACAAATAAATCCATCAACACTCCAGAACAAGGGCTGACAAACTATAGCCTGTGAGCCAACTCCAGGCCATATTTTTATTAATAAAATTTCATTGAAACAGACACAACCATACCAAAAAAACATAACAAAACAAAAAGCTATTGGCTTTAGTTATTGGTTATTTTGCAACAACACTGAATATCAGAGAACAGTATCACCTTAAATTGGCTACACTTTTCATCATACTAGAGCACAAGGAATTATAATTCACTGGCATGTTTATCCCTAAAACAAGTTTCCAAATCTATCAAAATACGACATACAAAAAAGGCAATTTCCCATCTGCCATTCAATTTAACAAACTACTTAAACAACTGTGCTCGCTGCAAACTTCCTATACGCACACACAAACAATGGAAGTACAGCTTAACTGCAGTTACCATACCTTGGAAAGTATCAAATCGCCTAACCATCGCACACAATCGACATAATTCCTATGTATGTCTCTGGTAGAAAAGTCAGGAAAGTGGATTTTCTGAGAAATAAATGGCCTGAAGGAAGAATGGAAATTTAAAAAGTTAAAAGAAAAAAGTATAGTAGAATCACACTGTTTTTCATTTTTGGATTTATAAAACTTTGAAAAGCAAATATATGACCATCAATTCCCATGTATGTAGATAACTGAACACTTTATCTGCCTATTGAGAGCTGAAGTCTCATTCCATTTTTAAAAAAAATTTTCCCCCATTATCAGCTTTCATATTCAATTTTATTTTTGTCCTATGATATTTCATTTACAAAAATTGCATCTTCTTGCCTTTTACTATATATAGCCCAAAATTAATCACTTCAATTTTGGCTATCCTAACCAATGATAAAATAAGAGATCTGATTGCAGGAATGAAAGTTTCTCATAGAAAATATACTAAGCTACCTACTCAATCCTTTAAAACTAAGCATGAATGTTCTATCAAAGTCAACATATCTAAAATATTTCTAAAGATAGTCATCTTTCTAGAAACATCATTTCAAAGTCTGCTAAAGATAAGTTTAGTAGAGAGTCCTGCCTTGAGCAAGAATTTCTGAAAATGGTACCTTGCAGGAATTTGACATTTATCAGTTAGGACTCTTCCAAATAATTTCTGTATTTAGGAAACTAAAATGTGGCACCATTTTCTTTCTTAAAGAAATTTGCCGGAAGACAATAAACAAGACAAGCTGCTACCAACTCTGGAGTTAGTTAATTAATAGTACAGTACACCTAACATTTCTAATCTAGTAAGTGATTCAGTTTTCATACTGAAGTAAACTACAGAAGTATGATATGCCATGAATTAGGTGTCTCAGGCAATCCACATGTCCTCTCTCTGCCTTTTCCTTCATGGTAAAAAGCATGTTTGGCTGCATCATCTCAAAAAATCCTTCCAATTCAAATCCTGGGATCTTTTGTTTGTTAAAACATTAAAATATTATTAATGATCTGATATAAATTCTTAACTCTGCTACAATCATGTTAATTGCTTTTTAGCCAAGTACATATTATAATCTTATGGCTAAACCTCTCTCAAGGAGAAGACCAGAATAACTCAATGTTATTTTCTGTCAGCTGTAAATATCATTTGTACTTATTCCAGAGATCTGGAAAAGTAATTTAAAAATACAAATTTAACATTGTACTAGTCCCTGGTGTTTTAAAGTACAAATCTGAAAGCTCTACTAATTCTTAGAGGCCACTGAAGTCTAGTCAATATTACTGCATTGAAACATTTGCTGATGCTTACAAATTTAACTAACCATCTATTAATAATATGGCTGATAATAAGAAAATACTCTAGCGCTTTGATAAAACAAATTATGAACAAAGTTAACATATGCACACATATGATGTTAATAGTGAAAGTGTTAATGACAGCCTGATAAGATCCTAAAAAGAGAGTACTGCATTAAGAATTGAGGCATTTCAAAAATACACTAAGAAAACTACAGAAGTCCCCACCTCATAGTACCATGAAGCAAGACTCCTGTGTTTGAATTTTCTACATTTAACAGTTAACATCATTTAAAGGAAAGCATATCACATGAATTAGAGCTAACAATCCCATTTTTAAAAATTATAGATTACTATCTTGAATTAGAATTTACACTGTTAAGTGTTACTTTAACATTATTCTAAAGTGTCCTTTACTCTATTCCACAAGTGTAAGTAATTTGGATTTTATAACTTAGAAGGCCAAGCACATACATACCTAAATAAAAATAAGTGAAATATACCACTAAATTAAGAAGAAAACACAATTTAAAGGAGATTTTGGAAACTGAGCCACAAACATTATTAAAAATAAAAGGCTTCCATTCTGTTTTGATAGCTCTGCTCTCCCATAAGTCTGCAATTGGGACAAGGTCACCAGGCCAGAGTGGCATCATCAGGGAGACTTTTCTTTTTTTCTTCACCCAAGCAGCTGTCAATCCAAGCCACTGGCATCATAGTTTCTTCTTTTTTGAATTAAAACCAACGTACCAGCAATAGTCTGCTCTCCCCTGGAATCTCTAACATGCTCTGTTTACATCGATAAAGGCATTTAAGGAAAACAAACAATTTAAAGCTCATTTTAAAGTTAATGTATACATACATACATACATGGCTTCCATTTAAAAGGGATGAATTTTACGGTATGTAAATATACCCTAATGTTACTAAAGAGGGGCTTCTAAGCTCTATGTTGGGTATTTATAAGAATTTTGGAAAAAGTAAAATACATCTTAACTCAACATGATATAGCAAATTGTTTTATATACTACAACTGTTACCTGTTAGTTTTATTTGGGTTATAATCGTAAGATTCCTTAATTGCATTCATCATTCTCTTTGAATTGATCCTCCAAAGTTTAAGAGAGTGATCCATACCACAGGACATTATTTTTTCACCCAAAAGATCATAATCCTGTATGTAAAACAGAAAAGTTTAAGTATATAAATTACAGTCCCAAATTATATTTATCCAATTTTCACCTGATATACAATATAGTGAAAATTTATTTCAAACCACAATAGTAACTACATTTTGGGTTTAATCTATCTAGGCCATAAATCTCAGTTTATCACTGTCAAGATTTAAAGTTTTGATTGGTCTTTCACTACCAGAGTATATAAGCTTGTATAAGGAAAAAGGTAGGAAAATAAATTACTTGAATTTAGTTTTATCTATTCAATCATACTTAAATATTTATTTTGCTTGGTTTTGAAGGTAAATCGAATGCTGAGGTAAAATAATTATTCTATGACACAAAAAGCTGAATGTATTTGTATTACTTTTCTTGTCCAACCCTGACCAAGCTATGAATCTATATGTGAAATTACATGAGTCCTTATAAACAGCTAAAATTTTACTTTATCCTAAGTCAAAATGTTTCAGTTACATTGGTTTTTCAGTTTACTTTTTAAATGAGTAAAAAAAAAAAAAGTCTAATGGGAATAACAGATTTTAACTTTTTCATTTGCTTTTTACTAATTAATAGGCACCTGATAGATCACCTACTGTACCAACTTTATTTCATAAGTAGACACTGAGGCCCAGAGACACTATTTAATTTAGTACAAGGCACATAACGAGTTCATGAAAATCTCACGCATCTATCCTTAAAGCAGTGAGCTCCTATATTTCAGAGAAGAGATATATATACACTGCTCTCATTTTAAGAAATGACAACAAAGAGTTCTATTGAAGGAGAATATTTTCCTTACTAACCTTGGTATTTTGTGTTAATCCAACCTTTGAATTAATTATGCACACTTATAAGACCCTAACAGCTTTAGGTTTGGTGTTTATTGAACAAGTCTGGTTGTTGCTACTTCTAATTACCTCACTGTCAATAGCAACAAGACATCCTTAGTCAGCAGCTCTAATTCAGAGTTCTTAATAAAGGAGGGTACACATGAAGCCAGATGCAGAATGCTACTCCAACTTTTAGAAAATCCAAGTTGACAGGGTCTCTTCTAAGGTAGGTATGATTTTCACAAAGGCATACAAACCTCAACTATAGGAATATTTTAGTACTGCCAATTAAAACACTACATGCTTCAAAATATGATAACTCTTTGCATAGTTTAATTAAAAAGAATTGAAGAGGTGTAAAATTACTGAAGAAACCAAGTGAGCTACATACATGGAACATAAGTAAAGCTAAGATAATGTAAAAATCTGAAACCTGATTAAAAACATTTGTATCATACGTAACAGATTAATGGACTATACTACATCA